ACATTTTAAATCCACCATTTTAATGAGCTTAACTTGAAGTGTATCATTTGTCCTCTTCAAACCTCTGCCTCCTTATCTACAAAATAAAATATCCGTGACAGAAAATATTAAACAATGTATTTGTTTTCTACTGAGTTTTACACCCTTTCACTCTTCACTACACTCAGAAGTTTTATTGACTCCTTTTCTTGCCTCAAAGAAATGTGACAGGGAAAAAAATGTAGGAAAACAAGAAATCTGCCAGATTTTAGATTATGTTTTCTATATTATAAGGCACCACAGGAAATCTGGAAAGGAAGATTTGGGACATGAGTATACTGCTGAGCCAACAACATTAAGGAAAATCTACTTCTCATGTTGGCAGAATAAACTAGATTTACTGATACAGGTGAGGTTGACAGTTCAGAGGGAGAGCAGAAAGTAGGGAGAGAGAGAGAATGAATAATTAGAAGTCATTTTCCCAAGCTGGTTCATATCAGCTAAAACATTGTGCAAAAGTCAGAATCACCCAGTGGGATCTTGACTAGGATTTGTATCTTAAGACAAAAAGTGATTAACAAAGAGACTAAATCCACAACCCCATCAGCTTGGTCAGAGATTCAGTTGCAGAGGTAGGCATAGCAAATCCTTAAATAAAATTTTCTCCGCTATAATTTTAGTTCGATTCTGAGCTCATTGTCATACTATCATATTAGGCATTGCTGTCTAGTTCTTGTGTAATGATTCTTCCAAAGTTCTCTAAGATCCAGGAAGTTTGAAGAGGAAATTTGTTAAGATTCAGGAAGCAACCATCTGAGAAGCTCAGGAAATCCCTGAAATTGACCAGGTAGGTGCATAAGGCTTCTCCATCCCCTAGGTTACATAAGAGCTTCTGAGAACACAGAGAACAGTCAAGCTAAGGAGAAGTCATTCTCTGACCTATCACTTTGCTTGAAAATCATATAGATAGCTCAAAGGTTCACAATTTCTTGAACCAGAATCCTTTCTGGATTGAGCTTTCAGTGAAACTTCTGTAAGTAACCACAAAAAAAAAAAAAATGTAATTGGTTAGCCAAGTTGGACTTCAGTGGCATCCTTACTTTAAGTCTGTTGTCAATAGTCTCTTTTGAGTAAGTAGATGGTAGTTTTGTACATCCCAAAGAAGAGTGTCACACAACATCATTCTGTTTGTTAGATGAGCATTCTTATGCATTAAGAATAATTTGCATACTCTTTAAACATCCTAAAGTAGCACAACGTGTCTCTTATAAAGATATCTTATTTTTACAAAGACTAGTACTTGAAGTGGGACACAGATTTGTAAAGGAATGATGAAAGCCAAGGATAGATCATCTACTCATTTGAGTCTGAAATTAGAGAAACTTATGATCAGTTATTAGACTTGTGTCCATGCATAGAAAACTACTAGCTAAACTATAACCTAGGTTTACAAAATATATGAATCTGTGCTTATATTCTTAAATAATAATAATAATAATAATGATAATAATAATAATAATAATAATAAAGCACATTGTGATTGAGTTTTATAACCAAAGCAAATATTTCTGAAGCCCATATGTAAAATGCCTCTTCATGTGAACATTGTTGAAAATAGATAATTGCACATACAATGAATTAAGATGTAGTCATTACAGAGAAAAGTTGGCATCTAGTCTAATGTGACTGACTCTGTGTAAAGATAGAGATATACATAGAGAGAAAATGCATAATATAATAACAGTGGAAAAGATGCTTCTGCTATAAATAAACACTAAAGGCTGTTGCCAAGCCACCAGAGGTAATAGAAACCAAGGACAAAATGCCCTGCCTGTTTCAGTATATTCCCTTTCAGAGCTTTTGTTGTAAATTTTTGGCCTCCCTAACATTGGCATACTAAATTTCTGTTGGCTTTGTGATATTTTGTTATGGCATAGCTAAGAAAACATACAAAAAACATTTTTTTATAACTGAGAAACACATGAACTGTAGAGCATTGTGATTGTTCTTAATGTCATTTGGCAGCTTAAAAAGAGTATGAAGTCAAATTTCTATGTTTTCAGCTCCAGCAATAGACTTCAAACTAGGGCCTTTCTATAATGGTGTTAAAACATGTATTTTACCTGTGGTTGCAGACAGGTCACTGAAAGCCAAATGCAAAGATTAATCCTGAATATTGCTGATTTACAATGGCAGCTGAATTTCCAGCCTTGCTCTCTCATTTGTAGAAGATATAGATGACACTGGTCTAGAAAACTCAGATTCTGAAGGTAGAGTCTGTATGACCAACTAGGCTTGGTGGAATGCTCTAATATCTATGAACATCTAACACAGTCTTTTACATGAAAAGCTGTATTTATCCCCCTCTTAAAAATCTTATCATGAAAGAATATCACTTATTTCTCCATCCCTAACATCATCTCTTATTAATTCTAGGACTATTCTAAAAATTTGATTATATCATCACTGGGGATAGAATGCTTAGTTAAATAGATTACAGATTAAAATAATATCAAACTGAACTATTTTACAAATAATTTTGGAATGTTAGAAATAATTTAAAAGATAACAGATTTAAAAATCATTTAGTTGCTATTTTCTGCAGCCCTAACATTATCATAGGATTTCAACCTCATAAAAAAAGAAATTGTACATGAGTTCACATTCTATGAGTAAGGATCACTATGGTAGAAATAGCAAAAATATGATCCATAGAACCCCATTTCTACAAAAAAAATCAGGTGGTATATATCCACATCCTTAGAAAATGACAGAGATAGATAGTGCCACTGAGACTAGAAAGATGAATATATTTTGACTGTTTTTCCAAATTAGCTTAATGAGTATTTGAGAGCACATCTTTTCAAGCTTAATCAGGGAGTGATTCCAAGTTATAATTAGTCTTCCAGATGTGGTTCCATTACCAAATCCATTTGGTTCAGCTCATGAATCCTCAACATGGCTTTCAATGACATATAAATATCAAATAGAATGAAATCATACACAATATATACGCTTAGGGTTTTGGACATTCAGGGCATCCACTCCAAAGTGAAAGGCAAATTGATTAGTCTATAATTAAGAAAAGTTATTTATTTAGTATGTTTCTTTATTCTAACATGATAAACTAATAATATTTACTTATAGGCTAGGTAATAACTGTAATTGTTCAATTTGATATTTTACAAAAAAGAAAGAAGTTTTCAAATGACAAAGCCTAAGTTTTTAAGATTTAAAGGATGTAAGTGTTTCTCAAAGATAATTGGTATAAGCTGGGCAGTGGTGGCACACACCTTTAATTCCAGGACTCTGGAGGCAGAGCCAGGCAGATCTCTGTGAGTTCAAGGCCAGCCTGGTCTACAGAGCGAGATCCACGACAGGCACCAAAGCTACACAAAGAAACTCTGTTTCAAAAAGATAAAAAAAAAAATTATTGGTATGTGTGAATGGTTTGTGGTACTCATGATAAGGATATAAGGATCACTTAAATTTATAAAGCCAAATTATATCCTGTTCATCAACTAAATCTCTTTTTCTTGACAAGTTCTTTTAAACTGCTTTAAAGTCCTTTCAAAGCTGAAATATTTTTTCAGATAACAGAAGACTGCTAAAATCAAGCCTATAAATATAAATTAGATTCCCTTATACCCATTAATTTGCACACATTTTAGTTGTATAAAATACCAATTCATTATCAAGAAAAGAATATAAAAGAAACAGGTTCTAGTCTAGTACAAAATGTGTGTGCCTGTTGCATCAAAATACTAAAGTATATATACCAAATATCATAAGCCAAGCTTCCATAAATGCCAATGATGGAACAAATAAAGACTCACTTGGGATAGCTATCCAGAGCCAAACTAAACAAAATCTAACTTTCTAATGTAGTGTAAAGTGCTTGGTTTATTACCAAGATGTGTCCAACTCAGACATCTTAGCTCTATCAATGATTTTAAAAAGCTCTTTCCAGTAAGAAGAACTTCATGCTGGGTGTCTGAATAGCTATACTAATTGTAAGAAGTGGTCTTGTAGTTGTGATCTGCACTGGCCCATGGAAAACAGCTATTGTCTTGACAAAAAGATTAGGCATTTTAGGAAAGAAAACTAGGAGATGGATGAAATATGGTTTTGATGAAGGGCATCATGTCTATGTCTCTAAATTAGGCCCATGAAAATTCTTATATTTATGTTTATCAATTAGTCATCATTTTGTATGAGCATTTCAATAATCCAATGTAAAGACTATCTATTCTCTGCATTTTAGCTCTTATTTTTCTTTAACTGTAATACATTATCATTAATAAAACACTGTTTCTTACAATAGGGACAGAAACTGTGCATAGACTCAGACATTGAGTATAACCTTATCAACTCAATCAACCAATAGTAATTGTTCAAGTTTTCCTTAGCAACCATCAGTAGTGTATCTATCCAGTACAGTGTTACTCAAAATTTGCTGTTAGTGGAGCTATAAAGCAACTTGGTGACCAGTTGATTATATTTGAATTCATCCATGACATTTGACCAATTGCTTCCTTTACTCTAGTAGAAATTTATATGCATTTTGGAATTTTATTAATTCATGGTGAGTCCTCTTGCAGCAATAATAAGCTTAAATCAGGTAAATGTTTTAAGTACTTTATGGTATTCAGTACTGATTAACTGAGACAACATGTTAATCAATACTTTCCTCTTCAAGGTTTTATCATGTACAAGGTGACAGACGGGGGGTAGGAGCTTAGAAAATGCACAGTGGATTTATGTAATTCTAATGTTTGTGGTGTGGGCTGAAGAAAATGGGATCATGAACTAGATGTAGTAAAGAGGAAAATTCTGGGTATTCAAGAGTTCCGCGAAGAACATGCTTGTGTAAGAAGCACACATTTTTAGCACCATGAACAGATTCTTGCATCCACAGGGGTTGTTCTCATCATTCTCCTTAGATTCAATGAATCAGACTTCTAAACTTTCTTCTCCAGCTTCCAGAATTTCTTTATTATTAAATAACCAAATTCTGAATATTGCAGTTGTTATTATTTATTTATTGACATTGTTTTATAGTGATCATTTAGACATATTTATTTAAGCATTCTCTATATTAGTCTATTGAGTACATTGTTTCTCATTTAAGTTTTTTCAAACGTAGTAATTTAATAACAATTTTATATTTCCCAGTATTATATTTAACATGTATGCTTAATACTACAGCCAACATTTAGTAAGTACAGATTCACAGAGTAAACTTAGAAACCATGAAAGACAAAATAAGAGTGTTGAGAAATGCAAATATAATCTTCTTTTGAGTTTCCCATGAAAATGCTGTGCTGCTAATACAATTACAGACAAATCACTATTTTCTTCAAGCAAGTATAATCAAAACTTGTATTTCAACCCTCTTTTCTGCAAAGAACTCTACATTCTTCCCTTGGGATAATAAACACTTTGAACAACTGAATTACATCAAAGGTAATCATTTCACTTTGATAAATATCTTCTCCAAATCACTCCCCGAGCCATTTGTATTTATTTTGCTCAAAGCATTTGCAATATACTTGTCAAGACCAAATATTTCAACTACCCTTACACTTTTCAGTTTCTGGTGTCTTTGCTATGCTTCTTTTATTTTTTAACTTTGTTTTGACATGAAGCAGCATGGATGGATTTGGTCAAAGCTTAAATGAAGTTTCAGTCAGTCCTGTTGGTGAACAGTAAGCTACTCTCCAAACTTCTTTCCTTTTCTGGTATTAAATCTAAGGTGGAATCTTGTTATGGTGGCTTATGCCTGTAATCACAGCCATTGGGAGACTGAGCCACAATTCCAAGGCCACATGCCTTGTTATGACACAGTAAACTTTAGGACAATTTGAGTCCTAAAGTGTGAACTTAATTTAGAATAAGTAATAAACATAAGAATGATTGGGAAAAGAAATGACAATGCATTTTGGTTTATCCATCTACTGTAGAAACTTAAGTTTCTCCTCTGAACCCAGAGTCATGTTAGTACACAGAACCAATAGCTGAGGAGCCCCCAACTGGATCAGGCCCTCTGGATAAGTGAGACAGTTGATTAGCTTGAACTGTTTGAGACCGGCAGTGGGACCGGGACCTGTCTGTCCTCAGTGCATGAGCTGGCTGTTTAGAACCTGGGGCTTATGCAGGGACACTTAACTCAGCCTGAGAGGAGGGGACTGGACCTGCCTGGACTGAATCTACCAGGTTGAACTCAATCCCCAGGGGAGTCTTTGCCCTGGAGGAGATGGGAATAGGGGGTGGGCTGGGGGGAAGTCTGGCGGGGGGGAGGACAAGGGAATCAGTGGCTGATATGTAAAATTAAATTAGATTATAAAATAAAAATACAACATAAAAAAGAAAATAGATTATCCAATACCAAATGGTCAGCCTTGAGGTTATATTTGTTCAGGTGTTGTACACATGTGTGTGTGTTTGTGTGTGAGAGAGAGAGATAAAGATAAGGGAGGGAGGGAGGGAGTCAGAGATAGAGAGAATAGGGGAAGATAAATTAAAGCAGTTGGGGAAGTAAAGGGAAAAGGAAAATGATGTAATTATAATAATTACAAAAAATAAAAAAGTTGAGCCAAGCAATGACGGCATACTGTTTTAATCCCAGCACTTGGGAAGCAGAGGCAGGTGGATCTCTGTGAATTTTGAGCTCAAGGCCAGCCTGTTTCTACAGAGTGAGTTCCAGGACAGCCAAGGCTACTCAGAGAAACCCCATCTTGAAAAATAAAAAAGGGAAAAAAATTATAAAATAGACATAAAGTATAAAAGTGAAATTCTGTTTTTCAGTTCTCTAGTAGCTGTTTTCTGTAAAGAGGTACAAGTGCTGCAAAAAATTTACTACAACCTTGCCTTTAGTCACCACAGGAGGCGGTGGAAGGCAGGTGGATATTTGGGAGTTTGAGACCATTCTATGCTGTGGATATCATTCTGTATAAATAAAACACTGACTGGCCAGTGGCCAGGCAGGAAGTATAGGTGGGACAAGGAGAGAAGAGAATTCTGGGAAGTGGAAGGCAGAGAGGGGGAGAGACTGCCAGCCGCCGCCATGACAAGCAGCATGTGAAGATGCTGGTAAGCTACAAGCCACATGGCAAGGTATAGATTTATAGAAATGGATTAATTTAAGATATAAGAACAGTTAGCAAGAAGCCTGCCACAGCCATACAATTTGTAACCAATATAAGTCTCTGTGTTTACGTGGTTGGGTCTGAGCAGCTGTGGGACTGGCGGGTGACAGAGATTTGTCCTGAGTGTGGGCCAGGCAGGAAAACTCTAGCTACAATTGTACCTAGTGAGTTCCATGCAGACCAGGGCTCTTTGTTGTGTTCCTACTCATACTATCTTAACACTTCAATTGAATTTAAACTAGCGAAAGTAATTGGCAAATTCAGGCTACATAATCCTAAATGTAAAATTCATCAGAAGAAAGCCTTAGTATTATTTTGTTGTTAGTGATAGTCTTCTGGGTTGGTTTTATTTGATTTTGCCTGATTGATTCTCTCTTTTCTCTGACTCACTTTGTAGCAGCAAATGACCTTGAAACTCCTGATGCTCCTGCTTCCACCTCCCAAGTACTGGGAGCTGGATACTAAAAACTATTCATTATTTTTATAAATTAGATTGTTACTATAGCAACTCCACAGAGTGTGTGCTAATGGCTCTTTTTTTCCCTGTGAGGAGAGTTCTTAGGAAATTGGATTATTGTATCTTGAAAGTTTTAATAAATGTTTAATGGTTTAAATAAACAATAAACTTAGTTGGGAAAGAATTAAATGACTAACTATACTTAGGATTCCACAGTATAAAATAATCAATCAACTTCACATTTCCATTTGCACCTCAGATCTCTTTCTACTCTCAGCCATCCTACTCTGTCCCCCCGAAAGGATGGTCTACGGCTATACATCATCAAACATTTTGTACCTCCTATGTCCAGCAAAGGAGTCTCCCACACATGGGGACACTGACTTGGAAGATACTGTGCAGGGTCAGGCTTTAAGCCCTCTGTTTAATTTCCTTTTAAGCCATGTCAAGATTAGAGCATTTAAGAAAGTCATTGATGTACCCAAAGTAGCTGAATTTACCCAACTGCTTCTGGATACCTCTATCTAAAGAAGGTAATGATGGAACAAACTTAGAAAGTTCTATTCTACGCCATCAGATTTTCTATGGTTCCAAACATTGTGTTTTAGTTGTTTAGAAATAAACCCTCTTCAGAATTATCTTAATTTTAGTGTGTCTCCTACTTCCTGTTGCCTAATCAGTAACTAATACCAGGCACATCTTAGAAAATATCCTCATAGTAAGTCTCTGCATTGAACATGTAATCCCTGAGTTTTCATATAACCTCTGTGCTAGAGGAAAATGAAATAAAAGTAACTTTGAAAATGGTAGGTGGGTGGAAAACATGTCCTGTGTCCTGTCTCCAAGCAGGTTCCTATCCCACCTTTGTTAAAGAATGGAGTGAGCAGACAGGTGCAAACAGGAAGTAATTTCTTGTCAATTCAGGTAAAATAACTTAAGACAGATTTCCACGAGGGACATAAATGGAACAGTTTGAACTCTCAGTAACAGCAGATGATCGCTGAGAGCCATTACAGCTCTAAACCATGGTACAGCTCAAAGCTCTTGGCAGTGCTGGGATGCCGATTAAGAGCTGTCCCTTACAGCGCAAGTGCTCATGTCTGAGAAGTGTTACAGCTCTCATAGACTTCTGGAGCAGCTGCTTTCTGAAGTGACGTCTTGTCTCAAAGTCTGGAGGCTATAAACTACAGAAGAATGAGTTCCTGGGCATAGCCTCAGACATGAGTCATGACTCCAGAAAAATCCCTGTAAAGACTTTGAATCCTCAGACAAAGAGGAATCTTCTCTATCTTCAGCAGGTGAGTCTGTCTCCCCTGTCGGGTAAGCCTTGGGGTGGGAGGCTGATCTTGAAGCTTCAGGTTTCCTTGTGTCTCCCTCCACATGAACAAAAAAGCAGTTCCTCTTCAAGATGTAGTTGCACCTGGAACACTGAGGTTTATATGATGGTAGAATTAATTTTCAACCGATCTTCTCCTATTCTTTCTTCCAGATACATAATAGGGATTATACTTCAGCATATGTAGACTACAAGATACAAGTTCTATACTAGGAAGAAATAGCCTTGTCCACAAAAATATATAAATACTCATATGAAGGAATCTGTGTCAAATTAAAACAAAATATAACTGGTTTCCAACAAAAACATGGGCCAACAAAACTGTGTACGATAAGATACATTACAAGGACTCTCCAAGCCACAGAAGATCTGAATAATTAATTTCTATAAAGACATTTTTTCAAGCAACATCTGGTATTACTAATGGGTGATCCACAACTCCAGGAATTATACCTTTATAGATAATGAGTTTTGCATTGAAACAGTTTACATGGATTTTTTACCTTTAGAAGTACCCCTTTGAGGTGTCTATGTCTCTGATCATAACATGTAATTTTAGGTTTACAGTGCCCTCTGTTCTAGGGAGTTTGTCATTATTGCTTATTTTTAGTTGATCATCAAATGAGTTTCTAATTCTTCACAAATATAAATTTGTAGGAGGCTGTGGATCACGTGTGACAGTTGGTTCTCTGTGTATTAGACCACAGATATAATTTAAGACTCATTAGTTTCTAATTAATTGGCATGGATGCACTCAGATTGGTTTCCAAATTTGTGTGTAGGCTTGAGCACCCATGCATGGCGTTAATATTCTGCTAGGTTGACAAATTCTACTTTTCCCTCAATAGACAACTATAGTTAATGAAATTGAAAAGCTCCCATGTAATGCAAGAGAAGATGTTATCATTTTTAGGGCATTAGATTTGAAATGGAAATATTATGTGGAATCTTCCCATCTACTACTTACTCTCATCTCTCCAGTATTTGTGGGAAGACATACCCTCCTGTAGTGACTCCCTCCCCAAAGGTACATGTATTGAAGACTTGGTCTCCAACCTATGATGTTGCATAACTTTTCTTGGAGAAAAACAAATATCTATTTCCACCACATGGTGCACAAATGATAGACAAAAAAATTTATCCAACCCCGGTATGGTAAACTAATGGGTTTATAAGTGTTATTTACAAGGTGAAGAGTTACTTAACTTGAGTGATTCAAATGTAGTTGTAGCACTTGGGATTACTCCCAAAAGCTGAATCCCTGGATCTCTCTGCACAACTTTCAGTCACCTCCATTAGACAGTCCCCTCTTGATCACTGCCCTTGTCATGGTAGAGGGTCCTTGTGAAGCTTGTAATTTTCTGAGCTTCCTGAGTCTCGTCAGTTTTATTAGCTTCCCGAATCTTTTAATCCTCACTACTCACCCTGAGAGAGAATGTTTAATTTCCGGGAAATAAACCTTCACCTTTTATGCAGTTCCGACATTTTTTCTGCTCCTCTTCCATAATATTCCTTTAGCCTAGGATGAGTAAAAACAATTTCTGATTATTTTAATCCTTCTACAAATGAGTATTGGGCCACTATGGTATAGCAATAGTCACTTATTCTTAGCAATATGGACAGTTACGAGTATCTGCAGTATATATGAATATACTTCCCTGACTGAAAGTGACAGTAGCAGTCTTCTATGGACATAACCACAAGTCATTAGAAGGAAACTGCACAGGTGCAATATATCAATTCAACAAAATAATGGCAATGTCCTCCCAAGTAGGACTTTTGACCTCTCCAGCCACAGGTCTTTGGTCTTTCATTTATTTACAGTGCCAAATATTAGTTTCTTCTTGTGGCAAAGGTTCTAGATTCAATGGAAATATGTTGACTATATCCACAACAATAAAGCTGTTTCAATGCTAAGTAAATCTTGTCTGGTGTATTGGGAGCTTACCACACAGGTCCATATCCAGGTAGTACTGTAAATAGCAATTCTTTCTCATCTTTCAGCATAGTGCCTTCCAACAATGAAAAACAACAACAATACCAAAAACAAAATAAGCAAACAATAAAACAGAGAATATAGAGCTTCTACACAGGTCCATCCTGATGTCTTTATGGCCTACAACAAAAGTGTATGGCATTATTTTAATTTGCTTTCCACTGCTGTGATAAACACCATGACCAAAATCAACTTTGGGGAAAAAATATGTGTTGGCTTACATATCCTGATCATAGTCTATTTTTTATTTTTTTCAAATAATTATATATCTTATGAGTATGAATTTTTTTCAAGCATGTGTGCATGTTTCCATATGCCTGGTGCCCACAGAGGTCAAAAGTTATCATGATCCTCTGGAACTGGAGTTACAGAGCTTTGAACCACCACAAGGGTGGTGGAAAAGGTCCTCTACAAGAACAGCAAAAGGTCTTAGTCACTGAGCCACCTCTCTGGTCCCCACAGTCTATTGTTTAGGGAAGTCTGGATAAGAGCTCAAACAGAAGCTAAGTTTAGAATTATAGAGTAGAGCTGACCAGTTGCTTGTTTTACAGGGGTTGTCTGTTGGGCTGTTATCTCACAAGCTGTACCTCTTGCTCTGGGTGCTTCCCCATTCTGATAGGCTCTGGTCTGATGTTGTAGACCTTGCTTCTCCCTTAACCATGTCTGGCTAAGAAAGGGTTCTATGTTGGGAGAACCATTTCCACCACCTTGATTAATTTGTTTCACAAAAGAAATGTATACATCATACTCTGGCAAAATAACTACCCACATTGAGGACATTTAATCATTTTGTAGGCATATTTTATCATTTATATCATCTATAAGCTGTTGTTAAATTCTTAGAGCCTTTCGGAGGTTCAATGGCACATTTGGCTTTCTGTCATTTTTTTCTGCTAGGAACTCTGACTCAAAACAAATCTTGTCACATTTGACTTTGAGTGTCCCATGTAGACCCATTTCTCTGTATTGCCCTTCTCTCATCCTCTTTTGATACTTTAGCCTTTTGCAAATCCTGTTTGCCTGTCATTATAAATCATTTCTATTAGCTAGAGATTCTCCTACTGTATAACAAATGAATCCCACCACAGGGCTCAGTAAATCCACCGAAACTCTATGCCACTGAGGCCCCCGCTGAATTAGCTTTTTCCAAACCTTGTTATGAGTACAGTTCTATTAAGTCCAGTGCACTAAATGCTGAACATCACCTCTCTCATGCCTAGGTCCCTCAGTGATGTCTATTCATTCTTCTTTCGTCTTCCAGATACTGATATTCATGGGGAATCTCAGGCAGCTGGAACCAAGTGTCTGTAATGACTCATAAGAACTAGCCCATTAGGGACTGATTACTTGCATATTATTCAGCCTTTGTTTCAAGCAAGTTCAAGAAGTTAAATTACTCAGTTTCTCTGTTTCCATAGCACTCAGACATCCCATCAACTCCCAATTCCCACATACTCACAAGCTAGGCTGTTCAAGTGTGTTTCATTCTTTTTTTAAATCTTTTCTAAGCAGTTCAGAAGTGGTGTATTAATTCAGTCTAAGAGTTTTTTACACTAGTTCATTTGTTTACTTCCACCATCTGCATGCTAAATAACAAAATGTCCTTTCTTCTGCATTAAAAAATCAGATGCAAAGTGATCTTTTGTCATTTCTACATCACCATCCTTCTTCTATCTAGTTATTCTGACAGCCTCTAAAACTTCGACACTTGAAGGGCTCCTTAGCACAAATTCAACTTATCCTTTTTCTTTTTTTTTTACATACCTCCAAAGCTCTAAGAAATTGCAAGCCAATTTCTCCAATTCAGCCTCCTTTTTGTCTACTTTCACTGAGGCCACTGCATAGGTAAGCATTTGTATGTCATCTTTCCCGCTGTAATTCTTCCAGTACATGGATAACTTCTTCATGGGCAGATAGCTCAGCCTTACTTGCATACATTGTAATACACAGCTCTTGCCATGCTACAATTACCACAGCCTGTTTATGATCCAGTCCTACAGGTATTGGTTTCATGAATTGAAGTATATTATTGATCAAGCAAGATAGAGTTGTTACGAGGCAGATTGTCCCATACCATGTAGAAGAAGACAGCCACTGGAGTATGTCCCCAAGGATATGCTACTCTCAGATTACTTGATCTTGGTTGCACGTCTTATTACTCATTGCATGTAGTATACAACTGACATCAAAGAAAGGAAGGACAGTGCCACAGATGTATAATAATATAGCTATGGCAGATGCCATCATCCAAGCATCTATTCATCTCACATGGAACATTGACAACAGAACAGAGAAATGATTTTACTCAAGTCTAGCTTGGCCAACTAGTGAGTTTGTTGATGTCATTAAGCATAATTGAAGGGTTACTGACAGGAATGGATGGCTCAAAGGCAGCTGCATTTCACAACACCTAGCATGTGTGATGATTTACAAAAGCTGCATTACTATAGCTTCCAGGGCATCATGAAGACATCTTCACCCAAAAGAGTCTCCTCTCTTTGAGTGATGGTTAACTGCTCTTATAACATTGGGGGTTTCTCAATCTTGTAACTTCTGAGATTCCTGAGCTGTATAAGTTTTGTTAGTTTTCTGAGTCTTTTGAGCTTCATGCCATCTCCCTCTAATAACTGTTTCAGTCTTGAGGAAATACCTATACAAAAGGTGCCACCAGGAAGTAATAGAAATTTCATGTTATAGGACCTGCAGAGAAGGAAGTTTGGTCATCGCAAGGATGCCATTGCAGGGGATATAGGAACTCTATAAGTTTTGTTTTTCTCTTCTCTTCTCCTCACAGCCTTCACCTCTTCAGATGTGCCTTTGCCCCACAAGACATGAACCATCCTGTCTCTCTTTCTCCCATACCCCAGCTCATCATTACTCATCATAATAGTGCCTGACAACCCGGTGCCACAAGGCATCTGGCAGGCCAGTGTTTTCTCCTTACTGCTCAAGACAAGCAACCCTGGGTGGGTGGGTGTGTGAGTGTCCTTCATCTACTGCATCCTAATGGCACCAGGCAGGCCCCTGTTTTCTTCTCCCTACCCATGGAGAGCATGTGGGTCTTCTTCTCCCACCCAATTTTAATGACCTCTCATCTCTTCTTGTTCACTATTAGTAAAGCTACTTTTTAACCATGGACACTTGTCATGATATATTATAGTGCTGCTAGGTCCAAAGCTGCTGGGCCAAGTAACCATGGACTGAAACCTGTGATGTATGACTCAAAACAAGCATTTTTTTTCCCTTTTAAGCTGATTCAGTTGGCAATGTTGAATCAGTGGTAGATATCGTATCCGTTTCTTGAATAAAACATTAAGAAATCTAGCTGAAGAGATGGCTCTGTGGTTAAGAACACTGACTGCTCTTCCTATGAACCTGAATTGAACTCTCGGCACCCACATGGTAGCTTACAACCACTGGTAATTCCAGTTTCTGGGAATGCAGTGCCCCCTTCTGGCCTCTGCGGGCACCAGGCATGAAAGTTGTGCACAGACATAAAGATCAGCAAAACATTTGTGTTCATAAAATGAAAATAATAAAAATTTGAAAATAAAGATATTAATAAATGCTTTTATATCCAGGCAGTGGTGATAAATGCCTTTAATTCCAGCACTCTGGAGGGAGAGGCAGGCAGATCTCTGTGAGTCTGAGGCCATCCTGGTCTACAAAGTGAGTTCTAGGACAGCCAGGGCTACAAAGAGAAACCCTATCTACAACAAAAATGCCTTCATGAGGAAGACATAAACATTCAAGATGATTTATCTGGTTATTACATTCTGATATAAGAAATATGAGTGTGAAAAACTGTAGTCAAGGTTCACTTTGTGATACCAATGAGGTTTTAGAGCAATATAGTGAAGGTGTAGGTTCTGATCAAAGAAAAGATTTGAGCCATTCTACAATAACCCAGTGAAAGAACATAGTTCATCCTCTGAGCCATAGAAATAGCCATTAAAAATAGCCCATGAAATTAGCTATTGATAATTACATATGACTTCTGAAATAAGAAATTCTGGTTCCCATAAATCTACATAATTGCATCTTGGCATACAGAGAATGAAAAATTCTAGATTTTCTGGGGAAAGTCCAATTCAATTTGTCATTTTGAAGACTTACAGCATGCTTATCACAGCTAAGTCAATCTAAACTCAGAAACCATTCCATACTGAAGACTTGGTCTAATTAGCTTAATTAAAAACAGCTGTATTCAGTTTAAAATATAATAAACACTGTTTACCAGAATGAGTATAGAGGTATACTGATTCTTCAGAATTTATTTAGTTACTGGTTCTGAATTCATGCTTATTTTCAGAAAGCTAAAACAACATCATGTATCACTGGACAAGGTAAGCTTTGAGTTTTTCTATGCATAGTTAAAAAAAAGACTGGATATATATTGTATATTTAATGGAATTAATATATAAATTAGTTAGTATCCTCACAAGGGTTAAGATAGTATGCTAAGAAGAAATAAAAATATCTATTTTCATATGAAATAAAATATCTATAAGGGAATTGCAAAG